ACCCACCCTGAAATTTGCATCTTGTTTAATTTGCATGTCTTTCCCAGTAAGGTCTCTTATTTCTTATGTGGTAAATTGTCTGTTAACCCCTTGGGAGTCTCAGCATCTTTGTTTTGTAGAGTTCATTTACAGCAGCTGTCCTATAATCAGAATATTAATCCATTGTTATACAAATATTTTCTACTACTTTGATATTTGCTCTTTGTTTTTCCTTATCTTTTTCAAGTAGACATTTTTAGTTGCCTCGGGGTCTCACTTCTCCCCTGTAGCTCCAAAGCTCCTGCCCCAGCAGGGACCTGTTCTGCCTCATGCTGCTGTCCTCATGAGCCTCACCCAGTACACATCGCCTGTTTTGGAGTCCAGCCGGTCACCAGCAACCCCTCCCACCAACAACCTCAGCCCTGTTGCTGGGCCTTCACTTTCCCTTGGGAACCCTAGCTCCCCTCTGCCCTGCTCTCTTCCCGCCAGCCTTCTCTGGGGGCTGCTTTTTCTCTCCCCACCTCAGCCCCCTAGCCTGGAAGGGGGTACCCACCCACCCTGTTCCTCACTGTGGCCTGCAGCCCCTTCCCCACTCCTCTCTGCAGGAGTCCCAGCTGATACCAGCCATCCGCTGTGCCCACCACCAACACCAGCCCTTGCTGTGGGCATCGCCCCATCACTGCGCCAGGTCTGAATTCCTGGTGGTCTCCATTTCCTGTGACCACCCTTCAACTCCCTGCTCCTCAGTCTTAACCTCTCCTTCCTGCCAATGACCTCGTCCTCTGCCCCAGTTATGCCCTTGACCCTGTCACCATCTGTAACTGTCCCCCTTCACCCCCACTCTGGCATTTCCTCAACACCCCATGCTCAGACCATCCCCTCCCCCCCAGCTCGGTCCTGCAGATGCTGACCCCAGCACTCCGGAGCCCCACACTGTCATGTCCTCACCCCTTCCTCACTCCATTTAGATTCCACAATTGTTGTCACACCCTCTGGGCTCAGATGCCCCTTTCAGAAGCTCACCTGGCAAAAGCCCAAACCTGGATGAACCCAACCACTCTTCTTATCCCCACTGGCCTCCCTGCTGCTCCTCAAAAATATACGTTCCCATCTCCTCTGGAACAGAGGCTAAAGCCCACAACTGTCTCCCAGGCCTGGTCTCTGCCCCCTCCTGCTCTCATGACCCAAGCTATCACCTGGCCTACTCATCTTTCTGGCTAGGATCTGTGTCCTGGGCTGGCCATGGGCTCTGGAAGCAGGTGGGGAGTGGCTATTATGAGCTGTGAGTCTCACCTCACAGTTGGGAAACAGAATGAGCAGATCATGGGTAGCCCACTATGCACACAGGATCCCAACTGGCTTTCAGGAAAACACCCCATCCCCCATTCCACCGAAGAGAAGGCTGAGGACGGGGGTGCTGGGGTACCAAGGAGCCAGACCAAAAGAGGCTCCTAGCTAGGGTGGGATCCGCTAAGCCAGGGAGGGGGATCCAGAAGGAGGAGTGGACCCTCTAGGCTAGGTTAGACTGGATTGGAGTCCTATTAGAGTGGAGGGGGGTGAGAAGGTGACCTCAGGGCCCAGGAGCGAGCACACACAGGGATCCTGGCTCTGCTGGGGGCAGGTTGCTGGGGACATAATTCAGTGAGTCTCCCCTTTAAAGCCCGGCCTTTCAGCAACATGGGACCTGCTCATGGCTGGAGGTGGCACGCCCAGAAGCAGAGGGAGATAGAGGGACATAGAACCAACACTGCATCCCCTCATCCCAGCTGGGTAAGAGGCTGGGCCCAGCTGCAACGTGAACCAGGACAGAGGGAACAGTTTCTGAGGACCAGAGGCTCTATGGGGGCAGGGTGGACAGACCAACTCCCTGGGTGCTAAGGCCCTGAGGGTTGGAGTAACCCTCACCTGGCTGAGTCCTCCGGGAGCCAAAGCACTCTCGTCTCACCTTGTCCTCTCCTGCAACAAAGCCTCCCCACCAGGCCTCCACCCTCAGTGGGAGAGATTCAGGGTGGCCTCCCGTGGAAGACAGCTGAAACTTTCCAAAAGCATGAGAATCACCATCTCTCCTTCCCCCGTCTCTCCTAGCTGGACCCCAGGACTGGGGCGCAGCGACCTTGGGATACCGGCGGGGGCAAGAGGGGTGCTGGAAAGGAGGCGGGGTGAGGAGGCCCAAGTAATTGAGACTGGGCCGCATGTGTGTTCTCTACCCCGGCCACTGCGGACTGATGGCCAAGGCTTGGGCCCACCTGCCCCTCCGCGCCAGGCGCCCCGAGGGGCTGCGGACTCCACCTGAGCGAGCCCGATCAAGGGCCGCCCGAATAGTCCCCTCGGGAGCACCCGGCCGTGGGGCACATGTGTCTGTGCCCTGGCGCCTTGTCCATCAAGAGGGTTGGGAGCCAAGGGGGCGGGGAACTTGACAGAGAGAGGCAGGGACACGGACAGCGAACCAGGGGGTGGAGGGACAGGTTGGAGGGAGGAAGAGAAAAATGACCGAAGAGGTGAAGGGGGAGGACCGTGAGCAGGAGGACGGGTAGCCGAGTGGACGAACGAGGGAAGGGGCCAGGGAAACACGAGCGCAAGCACAGAGTGGGAGTGGGGGGGGACAGGGACGAAGTCGGAGAGGGGACAGGGGCGGGTTGTCCGGGAGGAGGTGGGGCCTGGCGCTGGGGAAGGCACTGCGCCGGGCACGTCTAGCCCGCGCCCGGAGGGTTTGCCCGGTAATTAGGCCTCGGTCCAGATGGGCCCCCAGTCCCGCAATCAAAATGCTAATTGGCCCCGCGCCTCCGTCTGCGCCTCGGCCGGGCCCTCCTGGGAGGGAGCAGGGACGACAGGCTTGCCCGAGGGGGGGGGGTCCCCGTCCCCGCCCCCACTTCGGGCCTCGCCGCCTGCGGCTCGGCGATAAGGGGGCGGCGACGCCCCGCCCCCGCCCCTCGGGAACGCCTGCCACGCAAGATGAATATGCAGCCGCGGCCGTGGCCAATGCCACAAAGCGGGCCTGCGGTCTCCGCCGCGTCCCCAGCGCGGGGCCAGCTTGCTCACACCCACACTCGCTCGCCTCCGGGGCCGAGGTGCGGGAGGAAGCGGGGCGCGGGGCAGGCGGCGGCGCGGCTCTCAGCTCAGCACTCCCGGCACGCCCCCGCACGCACGTTCCCGGAGCGGCCCGCCCGCCGCGCGCTCCCGGCCGGAGTCCGCGGTCCCGCCGTGCCGCCCTGCACAAGGTCACTGCGTGTGGCGACGGGTGCGCGCGCGCCCCCACCTTGCACGCGCTCCGGGCTCGGCCGCGCCCGGACACTCCCCCGAGCCACCCCTGCGACCTTGGTCTTCAGTGACAGCGGGCCGCGCGGAGGCGCGCTCTGAGCGTGGACTCCCGAACCACCCGGCGCAGGCGAGGGAGGGGACAATGGCAACTCCGGGCCCTAATTGAGGACATATGTCCCCGCGCGCGGCCATTGTGCGGCCTGGAGCCCCCGACACCCCCGCGCCCGGCCATTGGCGGCTGGGCCTGACGTCATGGGGGCTGCAAACTCCGGGCGGGCGGCCGCGGGAAGGGTTATCCGCCTGGTTGCGGGGCCGCCGGGGGGAGCTGCAGCCGCGCGGAAGGGTGTAAAACCACCAATGAAGTCGAATTTCTAGAGCAAGGGCATGGCAGCCCCTCTCCCCCTTCACAGCCCGTTCACTGCGTCGCCGCTACGCTCGACATCCGCCCCTTGGAAAGAGGCGGGGGGGTTGGTGGAGGGAGGCCTCTCCAGCGGGCACGGGGTCAGCCCGGGTGACCGAGTGGCAGGGAGACACTGCGGCACGGGGCGCGCGCCGCGCTTCCACACTGCGCTTTCGCTGCCTCAGCATTCGCTCCTTCGCCTCCCGCCTCCCCCGCCCGTCCCCTAAGATCCCTAGCCTCCGTACCCTAAAGCTAGGCAGGCTGGACCGGCCTGGGATCCGCCCTGCGTTCTTCCCCACAAGATCTCAAGTCTGGGGCTCATGAGTCCCAAGGCCTGTTTCCACTTCTGCCCCCCACGCACGACAATGCCGCAGACCGCTGGGCCTCCATTCCCGAAGCTGCTCGGGGGAAATCCACACATGCGGGGGCCGCGGCATCCCCAAGACCCCTCCCAGGAGACCCCAGCCGGGCCCGGCCCAGCGCAGCCATTTCCGCCGGCCTCTCCTCCCTCCCCTCCCTCCCCCTCCCTCAGCTTCTGGGCTTTAAAAGCCAGAGGCTGGGCCCGGCCGCAGGCAGAGGCGGCCGCGGGCGCAGGAGGCCGGGCCCAGGAGCTGTCCGAGCGCTGAGCCCCGCCCCCGGAGCCCCCGTCCCTCCCTCTCTCCTTCCCTCGTCCCGCCCTCCCTGCGCACCCCTCCCCCCGAGGACCCCCGCCCCCCGCTCGCCGCCGCCGCCACCGTCGCTCGCTCCGGCTGCAGAACAATAAAGCAAGCCTCCTAGAGACCCCCGCCGAGGACCCCCGCCTGGCGGCCGAGCACCCGCGGCCCGCCCCTCGCCGCTCGCCGCGGCTGAGCGCGCCGGGTCGCTGGCCGAGGTGCTGGCCGGGCCGGCGCTGGCCGCGGTGCTGAAGCTGCTGGCGCTCCCGCCGCCGCCGCCGCCGCCGCCGCCGCGTTCTCCGGGCCTGGCGCCTCCACCCTCAGGGGCATGGGGGGTCGCTGACTGAGGCTCCGCCGCGGCGGTGGGGGGAGGGGAAGGGGGCTGCGGAGCCGGGCCAGCCCTGCACCCACTCGCAGCCTCCGGGCCCGGGACGGAGCCGCTCCCCCTTCCCCACCCCCCACCCCCCGGCCTCCTCCCCCGCCTGTCCAGGGGCGGCACTGCGGGCTGGGAAGCCGGGACCAGAGGAGGGAAGGAAAGAAGGAAGGAAGGAAGGAAGGAAGGAAGGAAGGAAGAAAAGAAGGAAGGAAGGAAAAGAAGAGAAGAGAAGAGAAGAAAAGGAAAAGAGGAATCCAGAGGAGCAGAGGAAGAAACGCAGGGCAGGCAGGCAGGCAGGAGGACGGTACTCCGGCGGCAGCATCCAAAGGCCAGAGTGGGGACCCGTGCTGCCTCCGCCGCTCCTCGGATGGTGACGGGGCCCCGCCGCGGCCGCAGCCCCCCCGCGCCCCGGCTCCGAAGGCCCGCAGCGCCGGAGCCCCGCAGGAATCATGCCCAGATCCTTCCTGGTCAAGAAGGTCAAACTTGACACGTTCTCCTCGGCGGACCTCGAGAGCTCCTACGGGCGCGCCCGCAGCGACCTCGGAGTGCGACTGCACGAGAAAGGTGCGAGCTGGGCTGAGGCTGGGGACAGCAAGGGGCCCAGGACAATGCTGGAAGGGGTAGAGTACCAGAGTATGGGGATGGAAGGGCCGGGGGCCTCAGGAAATAGACCCGAGGGAACCAGAACCAGAAGGAGACAGTGGCTGAAGCTGGACTGTGGAGGAAGGTGGGGAGAGGGGAACGCAGAGGCAGGCCAGAACATGGCCAAGGCCGGGCAGGGAGAGTGTCAATGCAGGAGAGAAGGTGGGGAGCAAGGATCTGAAACAGGAAGTACCTGAAGGTACACAAGGACCCACACCCTGGCTATGCGTATGGACACTTGCTGATATGACAGGACCTGCCATGCATGCAGACCCACACCCAGAAACCTGGGCCTTCCCGAGTATCAACCTCTCTTTCTTGGCTAGGGTCAGCAGAGTGCTGTGAGTTCCAGGGAGTAGGCATGGGTCCAGTGGGAGCCGCCACCTGTCAGGACTAGGGTACCAGCAGAGGGGCAGCAGTATTTCCCCTGCAACCAGAGTCAGGGAGGAGGATGAGGGCAGGAGGGCTCTAAGTAGGGAGGTCCCAAGTGCTGGAATCAGGGGGAGGCTCTTTGTGTAAGGGTGCCCAAGTTCAAGGACAACTGTTAGCACGCAGGCAGGAGGGCTGGGAGTGCCAGCAGCGTGGGGTGTCGGAACAAGTGTGACCGGAGCCTGTGTGAGCCGAGCCTGTGTGTGAGCCTGTGTGCGCCCATGTGACTGCGTGTGGCCATGTGACTGTGTGCGCTTGTGTGTGACCCTGTATGAGTGTGTGCCTGCCTGTGTGCCACTACATGGGACCATGTGACTCTGAGGCCGCTGTGCACCCATGTGACTGGCGACCCTGGCTGAGTGTGTCCAGGGTGGCTGCATGTGTGACCCTGCATGAGTAGGTGGTATGCGGGGATCAGCGAGCAGCCCACCCTGGGAGGACACTCACTCCAGGGTTGATGGTGGCTGAAAAGCTGGGTGTAACCCTGAACAAGCCAGAGGCCGCATCATGTGGTGTGTGCATTTGTGACTCTGCGGTTGTGAGATCCATCTTGTACCTTGAGAACAACTGCAGTTACCGGCATTAATGATGCTGCCTGCCTGCAGCTTGTCCCAGTGAAGGTGTCCCCTGGTGGGTGCCCTGGCACTCTCCAACGCAGCGACTCCCTGGTCGCCGGTGCTGAGGCTTGGGAAGGCCCTTACAAAGGGTTAGGGCCTGGGGGAAGAGGACTATGTGGAACAAGGTAGGACCCAAGTGTACAGGATGAACGAAGGGAGTCGGGGAAGAAGCAGAGTGGATGGAGGAAGATAGGGCTGGAGCAGGAAGGGGGTCAAGTCCAGGGAGTAGTGGAAGACCTAGGAGGGAAGAAGGAGGTGCTAGAGATGGTAGGAGGGGCTGCCGGAGGGAGAAGTCTTCAGGGCTTGTTGGGGGGCCTAGGGGACCAAGGAGGGGCAGCATCAAGCCTGGACACGAGTTCTAGGTGCCGAGGGGAAAAGCAGGTGGGAACCCCGAGAGGCAGAAGCGACGGGGTCCCTCGGTGGGCGGTCCCGGCTTTGTGCGCTGCGGGTCCGCAGTGTGTTGCATAATCAGGGAAAACTGCTGAAGTGGGGAGAACCCGAGGGGGAGGAGGGGTGGAGGAAGAAGGGCGAGGGAAGCGCCGCCCCTCCCCCCTGACCTTGAGGCTCCGCGGAAGGGGGGCAGCCGCGCCCGAGGATGCGCCTCTTTCCTCCCCCTGCGAGGGTGGGGCGGGCGGCGGGGGCGGAGCCGAGGCCCGGCCCAGGCTCATCTGTCCTCTCTCCCCTTCCCCTCCCTGCCTCCTCCTCCCTCCTTGCCCCGCGGTCCTCCGGCCCCTTCTCCTTTGTCCTTTTTCTTGTACCCTCCTTCCCGGACCCGTGTTTCCCGCCGCCTTCCCGTGTGTGTCTCGCCCGCTGCCCGGTTCCCCCTCCCTCTGTCTGCCTGTCCACCTCGGCCCTCAGGATACCTCAACGACTACGCGGGGCCCGCCTCCGTCTACGATGGCGATGCCGAGGCGGCCTTGCTCAAAGGGCCGTCCCCAGAGCCCATGTACGCTGCGGCCGTGCGTGGAGAACTGGGCCCGGCGGCCGCGGGCTCGGCACCGCCTCCTACCCCGCGCCCAGAGCTGGCCACAGCCGCGGGCGGCTACATCAACGGCGACGCGGCCGTCAGCGAGGGCTACGCGGCTGACGCCTTCTTCATCACCGACGGGCGCTCGCGCCGTAAGGCCGCCAACGCCGCCGCTCCCTCCACGGCCTCTGCCGCAGCTCCCGACTGCGACGGCGGAGGCGGGGCCGGGGCGGGTGCGCGCGGCGCTGGGTCGGGGGCCGGGGGCCGGGGCGGCGCGCGCGGGGGGGTGAGCACGGAGGCGCGCGCGGGGCCCGGGGCTGGCGGCGCAGGGGGCCGGCACGCTTGCGGCGAGTGCGGGAAAACGTACGCCACGTCGTCGAACCTGAGCCGCCACAAGCAGACGCACCGCAGCCTGGACAGTCAGCTGGCGCGGCGCTGCCCGACGTGCGGCAAGGTGTACGTGTCCATGCCGGCCATGGCCATGCACCTGCTCACGCACGACCTGCGCCACAAATGCGGCGTGTGCGGCAAGGCCTTCTCGAGGCCCTGGCTGCTGCAAGGCCACATGCGCTCCCATACAGGCGAGAAGCCCTTCGGCTGCGCGCATTGCGGCAAGGCCTTCGCCGACCGCTCCAACCTGCGCGCGCACATGCAGACGCACTCGGCCTTCAAGCACTTCCAGTGCAAGCGCTGCAAGAAGAGCTTCGCGCTCAAGTCCTATCTCAACAAGCACTACGAGTCTGCATGCTTCAAGGGCGGCGCTGGCGGCGGGGGCCCCGCGGCCCAGGCGCCCGCCGCTTCGCCGCGGCTCAGTCCTGTGCAGGCCTAGGGCGGCGGTACGTCCGCCAGCCCAGCCGGGTCGGCTCTCAGCAATACGGGCCCCCAGGGAAGTCTCCGCCAGCGCCCGGGCGGAGGGGCCGGAGGGCGGGCCCCACCTCACAGCAATAGAGGGAGGGGGCCCGGCCCCGCCCCGCCCGCCAGGGGCCTTGCCGGCCCCTTCAAGCAATAGGGTCCTGAGGGGAGACCCACCCCGAACCCCCTCCCTTCCCCTCCAGGGTGCCCCAGGCTTTTTCCCAGCAATAGGGTCGAGGAGACCCAGAACCGAACCTCATCTCCGAGTTAGGTCTCTGAAGACGGGGGTGGGGTGAGGTGGGGAGCACCCCCCTCCTCCCTCCTCTGCGCCCCTGGATCGCGTCGCAGAGACTCAGGTCTTCCCCACCCCTTTCCCAAGCCTTCCAAGGGCCAGGCCTGCGGCCTAGACGTCCAGGGAGCAGACAGGGGGAGGAGCAGGAGGGAGGGGCCTGCAGAGGCGTCCCTACTCCTCAGTCTTCGCTGAACCCCAGGAGTGATAGACGCGTTGGGGATCGGGGAGAGAGGCGGACGGCGGCACCCCTCTCCCTAGGGTTCTTTCTGGGGCCTCAGTCCAAGCCGCTCTCCCACCCTCGCCTCGCATCCTCTGCCAAATCCGAATTCTTCCAGCCCAGCTTCCCGGGCTTTGTCCTTCATAACGAATAATAATGACGCATATCGAATCGCATGGACTTATCCGACCTCCTCCGACCCCACTCCCGCCCTGCCCCGGGGCTCCCTCCCTCGTCCCCGGGCATTCGGTGTTGGAGGACGGATCCTGGGGCCCGGCAGGCAGGCCTGGGCACGGCCCATTACACACCTCTCTGTATTCGCTTTGCGGGTAAAGCCCCCTGGGGGGGTTGCGGATGCGTCGGGTTTCTTTCTTTCTGTATTTGTACGTTTTATTTATGAACGGATTGCACTCGGGTCAGGGAAGGGGCGCTGAAGCCCCCATCCTTCCCGCCGACGCCGGGGGCTTGGGATGTCCGGGATCATTTTCCCCGCCCCTGAACCCCGCCCCTACCTGGGCCCCACCCTCGAGCCCCAGGCCCCGCCCCCACTCTGTTGCCAACTTTCGCCCGTCTATGCCAAAGCCTCGGCGGCGACCCCGCCCCAAGGGCCCGCCCCATTGGCCGCCGCCTTTGTGACGTCACTGCATGCAGCCCCAACCCTCCTCCCGTCCCTTCCCGGGGCTGCCCGCTCCCTCTCCCTCTAGTTAGTCCGATGCCGACTATAGAGCAATAATGCGCACTGCATGCGAAGCTGCCGCCGCCTCTAGAGTTACTGAGAATCAGGTATCCCCCTGCCCTATCCACCCCATAGGCCCCTAGATCAGGGACATTGCGCGGGGCCGGACGCGCAGACTTTCTTCCCCTCCTCCTCCCTACCCCCCCACGGCAGAGCCCTGCGGGTGTAATGGTTCCAGGGGCGGGGGCGGGGTGGTTGCCCCCAAGACCCCTCCTTCAGTCATCCATCACCCACTGACTGTTCATTGGGCACTTATGTGCCAGGCCCGCTGCAGAGTCGGCCAGGGATGCAGCGACCTGCAGGGGGTGCATGTTCGCAACAGGGGTCCATCAGGTTTGGGTGGGCCAAGCAGAGCTGCATATATGCAGAGAAAGGCCTGGTCCCTAGACCCAACCCTGCATCCCCCTTACCTCTTCCCGCCCCAGCCCGGGTCCAGTGCTGGGTGCAATTGGGCTCTACCCATTGACTTGCGCCTGGTGTTCTCAGCTCAGGTGGCACAGACCCGGGGCCCGAAGGGCCCAGCACGACCAGGGCCACCCATACCGACTCTCAGTCCTTCCATCTTCTGGCCAGCTGGGCTTTGCTGTGTGGGGCCAGGGCCCCAGGCCAGACAAAAGGTGCACGCTGGAGTGTATGACCTGGTCAGCCCCATCCCAGGGGGCACCAAGCTGCTACCTAGCCGCACCTGCAGGAGCGGACTGAGGGCTCAGCACAGCAGGGCCCATAGCCCAAGCCCTCTGTACCACAACTCGGAGTCCACACAGCTCCAAGCTGGGGCCTGCCCTCCTGTGCTGGGGACACCCGCATGCACACGCACACACAGGCGCCCCACCCTACCCCCATATGCCTGTCTACCTACCTAAGGAGAAGGCCAGAGGGCCATGGGCCGGCCAGGGTCTCCCGCTTCTCCCTACACCCCGCCGCCGTGGAAAGCCATGGGCCCCCTCCTGCCCCCATAACTAAGCAGCACAATAACCGACTTAGCGAATTCAGGTAGAAGGAACGTTTAGGTAGCACCTATTTTGTACTGATTCTACGAGTAGGGCCCGAGATGCGGGGGCCCTCGGGTGGGGGTTGCGGCCGCCGGCCTGCCCCGCCCCCACCCCCGCCTGCGCCCCGCCGCCTTGTACATACTCCCACCCGGAACAGGCCGGGATTTTTACTCGGGCCGCGCCCCTCTTCCGCCCCCGTTTGGGGCTGGGCCGGCCGGACAGACGGACGGACGGACAGACCTCCTTCCTAAGCACAATAGCACCAGCTCCCTGGAGCGCCGCACCTCCACAAGGAGAATAAACGCCACTCTTGATAGAACTTGGAGTGTCGGGTTGATGTATCCAGTGCTGGGCCCATGCCACAGGGGGCGCCGGGATGTCCGGGGGTCGTCTTCCCAGTCCTGCTGCGTCCCAGACGCAAGACTGCTGCAGGCGCAGTGCTGGGAATGGCAGCCTTGGGGTCCGGTCACTGCCTTTGTGCAGGGTGCACCAGTGTCCCTTTTCACAAGAGGGCTATCTTCGTCCTCCTAGAAGGGCCAGCTTTGCAGGCCAAGCCGTGGGAGAAATTCCCTGAAGGCAAAGCAGTTGGCATTTGTCCTGTGGCAGGTTAATAATCTGCTCTGTGCCAGGAACTGAGGGAGCTAAGGGTCTCCAGCCTGAAGTCAGGCCCAGCCCAGAAGTGATCTAGAGTCACCAGAGTAGGTACAGCAGGGCCTGCAGACCTATGGCTTACTCTCCCTGTAGGGGGCTCCTGCTGCCTCTGGGGCCTGACAGCCACCAACAAGCCCTCCTCATGCCAGTGGAGGAAAGGGGGACAGCAGAGGGTGCAAGGTCTAGCCCCTTACTGCTGTGTGCTGCCCACATCCTGACCCCCCACTGTCTGAGGAGGCTTCCAAGGACAGCTGACCCATGCTGGTTCTGGGGAGGTGCCACCCAGAGGACAAGAGAGGCTTCCACAGCCACCCACAGCCCTTGAGCTGTAGACAGGATGAATCGAGATGAGGGGTGGGACTGTGCTAGTTAGGGACAGCCCAAGGACAGGGACCCCCTGCCCCAGCAATGCCTCCTGATACCCAGGTAGGCAGGCATGAGCTGAGAGGCCCAAAGTCTTTGGAGACATGTAGTCAAACTAAGTCATCCCAGAGCCAGCTGTCTGAGCCCTGGCAGGAGACAGGCCTGCCCAGAGTGAAAGTACCTGCTATTGGGAGAGGTCAGTGTCCAGATCCTCCTGCCCAGGGATCCTTGACTTTCACTGTCCCCAGCTGGGGTAGGCTTTAGAGCCCAATTTGCATATGAAGAATCAGCCTTAGGGAGAACAGCTTATCCAAGGCCTGCCTTGGACACAAGCCCTTCCCCAATACCCCACCCACCCTACACCTGCAGTCACACCTGGGTGAGGAATGCTCATTCCTAACCAGCTTCTGGGTCTAGACTGGCTGTCTCTGCTTCTCCAGGACCCTGAGGGGCAATGGGGGAAAGGACGGAACCCGCCTCCCTGAGACCTGGAACGGGTTCAACCCTCAGTCTCCACAGATTTCCATGGACAGGACTTGCATCCCAGAGAACGGGCTGCACAGACTGCTGACCGCCCTGTCCCATGTCTCCCAGTTGGCCAGACCCTTCACAGGCCTCAGTGGTCTGCCTGTGGCACCTCAGCCACAGGCGGAGCTTCTAAGCGCTGGACCTCTTCCAGCCGGGCCTGCAAGGCTCCTGGCCTCTAGTCCCCTAATCAGTTGCTGCCCCTGGCAGGGAAATCCCCAGTGAGCTTTCTTCGACAACCCCTCTTGTACACCTTTGTCACCAAAAGCAACCCCACCTACCTTGACCTTTCCCCTCTCCCCTGGTGCCCTCGGCCTCATTTTCCCCTGGACCCTGAGGTAACCGGCGCTGCCCGTGCGTTCTAAAGCTCCTGCGCTGACCCTCTCCCAGTCCCAAGGCCCCGGCCCGCCCGCTCTCTCCCACAGGCCTCCCTCCCTCCAGGCCCCGCCCCCGCCGGTACTGAGGCTCTTCCTTATTGGTGCTCTCACAGCCCGTGCCTGCCTATTAACTGGCTGTCCTGTTCTCCTGGCGCTCCGCTCCAGGGCGCTGGACTGGTCCTCTCCGGTGATCCCTCGTGCACTCTGGTCGCTTCACTCCTGCTGCCACTTGCCAGCCAATGGCTTGGAGCCGGACGTGGACGCAGGCAGCCGCTTCCAAAATGATTCTTCACCCTTTATTGACTACTGACTCAGCCTCTCCAGGCCTACTGGGAGCCTGAGTCATCAATCTTCTCTGACAGCCTGGGCGGGCCCTGTAGTTCTTGGCTCTGTATTGGAAGGATGGCACAGCCAGAAGGCACGTGCCTGTATTGGAAGGATGGCACAGCCAGAAGGCACGCGTGGGCGCGCGTGGCAGAGCTCCCAGGGCTCATTCCTACGCTCCAGGCTCCCGAGAGGACCCTCTCCTTTGTTCACCCTCCCTTGGGATCAGTATTCAGAAAGGCCTCGCTCTGCCTGGCCCAGGCCAGCCAGTGAACAGGTGCAAGTTCTGAAAGACTGGATAGGAGACAAGGTTGAGCCTGACTCACGGAGGTCGGGCTGTGTAGGCATGCGGGAGGGGCTCTCCTGCCCAGTTAGGGCAGCCGCTTTGGCAGGTTACTCAAAGACACCTGCCAGGTAGCCCCAGCCTGCCAGGTAGGGATGCCAGGCTGGTTATCAGTCCCCGCTGACCTAGTGGCAACAGGAATGTGTCACCAGGGGGCCCAGGCACTCTGGTGAAGGCGGTGGAACAGGGGTGAGCCCAGCGGGAAGGTGGTGGCCAGTCCACGCGGAGAGGTCGCTAACCTTAGGCTGAAACTCTCGGTTTATTTGCTGCTGGAGAGGTACTCTTCTTGGCCTTGATCACCTTAGGAGTGAATGGCTAATGGGTTTTGCTGCTGGGTAAACTCGGCCTGAGCCCCCAGTGAACCCTCGCACCCGGAAATCCTGGTTGTTCACACTCCATGCCCCATGCAAAGATGAGTGTCAAACTAAGGTGGGAGGCGCACTAGCGCGCTTGCGGGCTGCACCGTCTGGTCGTGCAATGATACGGAAGCCTCTGGGTCCCCGCGATCCGGCACCCCAGGCTCCCCACAGCCTGGCAAATCTAGCCCGGGTGGAAACGAGGGAGGCCCAGCAAGTCTTGCGGACGTGGGCGGAAGAGGGGGGCGGGTGGCCAGGCCGTGGCCACTCGGGGATGGGAGTTAGGGGCTACGCCTTCCCTATCCCCGCAGGGCACTTCCACCGGGAGTCAGTGGGCAGGGCGGGTGTCCCAGGGACGCGGGGCCTGAGGCCTTTCTCCTGCTCCATCTTTTGGTCTGGCTCTTGTTTGAACAACCTAAGCCGTGGAAAAGCAGGTGCTTCTGCGGTGGTAACTAGAGGGTCGCGGAGCTCAAGTGCGCCCCGACGTGCGCTCGGGAGCCAACA